GTGATTGAATTTTTACCATAAAATGGGAGTTCAAGTATGTTACTTACATGGTAGAAGTCATAGAACCATTCGTCAAGCATTTCCCTAGAAGTTCAATTTTGGCTATATAGTATAGGTCCAATGTAAAGTAAAAACAAATTTCTGTTGATTATGTATAATCGGAGATCCCCAAATACTGAGCCAAATATATTCAAAACATTTTAAATTTCTGTCGGTTTGAACGATTGTGCTCTTTATGAGCCGTAAAATATTCTGTGTGAAATTGATGCTTTACGGCACCAGGGCTAAAGACGGATGCAAGAAAAGACATATTTGAGAAGCCTGATGTCACTACATTTTCCGCCAGTCTTCCGTGGGGTTCCGTATTGTCACCAGCCGATAAGTAACAGAGAAAAGGTGAAGGGGAATGTGGTGCAGGGTCCTAAGGTCAGAGGTGTGGGGTAGGGGTCACGTGTCGACACGAATCCCCGCGGCTCGTTTGTCCACCAGACAGTAGCAGTCTTACTTGCGATCGCCCCTTCCATTGAAAGCGACCAGGGATCCGAAATTATTGAACAGCTCTCCAAGCACAACAAGGTCAGCGGTTGCAGATAGAGATGTGTATATGTGTGCGGTGAACCCAACAGAATTTACCACTCTGCTTCCCAAACTCTCCTTCTAAGAGATCATACGATGTGGGCTTGACTGATCTTGGTATCGCGTGCTGAAACCCCACTTCTTCAGAATAAGGACATATGGCTCTTCTTTGCTCATTTTCTTTCCCCCCTGTGATTTCTTTTTCCCCAAGTGACCGAAGTTTTTCACACCAAGCAATCTAAAATTTCCTGCTAGCCAGCTACATTGGGTATCTTTATAATCTGCTGACCATTATCGGTTAGAAAAGTTTCAAACTTCCCTGCCAGAAGGTTGGGGACTTGTGAACTTAATGCCTTCTACTTCCGTTTCTTTCTTGAGATAAAATTCTTAACATTTCCTTCCAACTTTAGCAAATAAAAAACCCTTAATGGTCAGGGCTTGGACTGTTTTCAAAGCATTTAGACTTAGAGCAACGCAAGTAAGCCTCTTTCGCTTGTCCGTTTCATGCCCATAAACAAGATTCTTCTTGTCATTTATAATTAAAACTTGCGATTCTGATGAAATGCGGCATTTGTAGGTTAAAATGTTATTAATCAGAGAGGTACATTCGTATTTGTTAATTGAATTATATGTTGATTTACACAGCTGAAAGTAAACAAAAAAAAATATGTAATCTTTATTTGATGGGAATATTTTTTTGATTAGGAAGCTCAATGAACGAAGAGTTTTTCTGTGCTTCGTTAGACTAAAAGATATAAAGGCTTAAAATACATTTCACAAAAAGAATAACAGCTGTCATATGTGAGATATTGAAAACAGCCTGAAGCAGCAAAATAGGTAAACATTAACCAGAGTGTAGATTATAAATTGTGAAATCAATTTGAAAACGAAAATTCCGGCTCTAGAAGGCTAATGCGAAATCGCAAACTTATTATAACCTCTTTGAAGAATGTTTCACTAGCTCTTTGAAAATGAAGATACAGCGCAAACTGTGCTCTCGCTTAGCTCGTCAGCAATCAAAATTCAGCATCTGAGGAAAAGATAACTATTTTTTTATTTATTTTACAGAAGGCGAATTTAAGTTACAGCATTTTGAACAAGAAAACTGCTGGTTTCATGTACACCAGATTATGCAGAGCAATTTTATTATTTTAGTACTTGAGAATAAAAAGTGCATTATCTAAAGCAGGTTAACAGTATCGTCAAAACCATTCACGCTATTCGCAAATGAATTCTGTTTCATTTTAAAGTCTAACATTGTACTGAGATCTCATGCTGCTACAAATATTCAAAAAACCTCGAGACGAAATCCTTTGGCCGATACGTCAGATTGTACATTGGAGAAACTGAGTATTTTCTTTTAATTGGAACATAATATCAGGCTTCACCAAGGCGAACTAATCATGCAATTTTTTTTAATACTTGGGTATTAACCGAATGAAATGGCCTGTTATGTCGTCCTGTTTCAGTTTTATTAAGCACTTGTAGAACTAACTTCTACTACAGTTTTCCTTTAATCATAATTGTAAATCCTTTAATCATAATTGTCTTCATATGATAAATAATATAGCTCAAAAAACTGGTTTTATTGCCTTTTTTAATTTGTTTACATTGATTTTGAGGGTTCAAGTGACGGTGGGTAATGTGACTGCTTTTGTAAAATGTTAAAGTATACAATAAGAAGCAAACAAAATTATGCAAGCAGAGAAGAAAAAAAAAAAAAAAAAAACTTGCAAGTTAATGTTTTTTTCCTCTCTTTTTTAAGCCCCCTTTAATATCTACCATTACCTATTCAGTACAATGAGCAGAGTACGCTTCTTTCAAATAAAAAACAGAAATCACTGTTAATCTTTATATATATAATACAAGAACAAAAGCAGCAGAGCAGTAAAAATTATTGAATTTAAAGTTATTCAATTTTACACTGATACTTGAGTATATTAGGTTAGGGCCCACCAGCGGCTGAGCAGTAAAGTCGCTGAACACTGGTAGTTCGGTCCGAGGTTCGAATTCCGCTAACGGACTGGCTGCATGGGCATTTTCGTGGTTTTCCCCTTGTGTAACGTGTATACGAGCAAGTTTGCCTTAGAAAGTACTCCACGAAGGCATCTCTCCCCTTAGGCAGATAGCCCTAGTGTGCTTTGCCGTAATTAAATAAACCAAACCATATTAGGTTAGAATTCTGCGGTTTAGGAAGAACAAAAGCTAAACTTTAATATTACAGCATTTTACAGCTGAAATAGATTTCTACATTAAAAAAGATTAATGGAAAGGGAAGTTAATTCATTAAATATTTAACAAACTTTGGGGATTCTTAAACAAGGAAACGTGGTGTAGTTTTGAGATTATGTTAGCATATTTTCTTACTTCATCAGATTTTGTTCAAAGCAAATAGCTGTAGCGGAATATTTTGAGACTTCACTAAAATAAAAACGCCCATTTTATTAAAAAAATAACAATGAACTTCCTAATAGAATTAAATTGTTTTTATAGTTACCAAAATTTGTTTCACAAATAAACAAATATTTATCATGCTAAATTTTTCCATACTCATCTTTGCAAAAAAGATTAGTTCTTGAACATCTATTGCTATTTATTCTCCATTATTAAGAAACAAATAATAATAATACTAGTGGGAATAACATATTATTCTCCCCACAATATTTCAGGGTAGCGAAAACTTCATTTTACAATTAGTGAGCAAGAAAATTTTGCACTATGAGGAATGAGCTGCGAAATATTCAGGCGAAAGAGCTCTCTAATGTATTAGGCAACTAACATTTAATCGTTAGCTTTAGGGAAATTTCATTTTCTGCTTCTCGAGCACTAATTATTAGAGGTAAAATGTGGAGTATACTTCGGGATCATAAACAAAGTCCTAATTATACATCAGAGGCAAAAGATCGGGTTGAAGGAGCTTGAATAATAAAGTAAAGTTATTGAAAAAATGTATATAAAGCGTTTATTAAAGGTTCCTTAATAAATATCTAACAGGTGAAAGTTAATTAGGATTATTTATTTTCAGTTTAAGTAATAAATGGAAGAAATATATTCTAGTTTCAAAAAAGGAAAACTACTGCAAAAACTGCTCAAAGTCAGGCTAGTTACCCGGTTATAGATGCTTCCTTTATAGTTTATTTAGTCAAATTACTTGAGTTATTTCTCCTCGATGTAAATAACGCACTCTGCTTCAGTTAGTATAAATGTTACCAAATATCTTAATGCGGCATAAAATAACATATGATATAACAGGATTTATGTACATAATTGTCTTCTTATTTTCAGATGAAGAATATTTCACTAAATATTTTGTCACTTTCTCGCCAGTTTAACTTTTAAAATCTCATTAATTAATTATCTACAATCCTATATTTTTAATTTCATTTCCACTATTTTATGCTTTATTTTAATTGTTCTCTGCTTTCTTTCCAACGATGTTGCTTAAAGCAAGAAATTGAAAGCAATAAAGTATTACCACATTTTAAGAGACAGAAATATAATTAACGCATGTGCTAGAAACTATCAAAAGAGAAAAATTGTAAGTAAAGCATTTAAAATTATTTAGGTAAAAAATATAACCCAGGTGAGAGATTTAGTACATCAAATTTAAATGTACAATAACTCTTAATAAGAATTCTTACCTTATTTGTACATAATAATTCTAGTTATCTGTATAACATATCAAAATCAATATCAGCAGTTGTAGGCTAGAGCTGAATTATTGAAAAATAAAGAAATTGAGAAAAAAATGGTTCTGTAAAGCAATTCCAAATTTAAAATACCGCATTAGATTGTATTTTCTTTCAACTAAATAACTAACCAGTTTTGTCCAGATTTATAAATTGGATTCTCACTATTTTCAATTTCGAATTTCGAGCTTTTTTTTTCCGAACTGTAATCGCAAATTGCTAATTTCACAACCTTGACACGAAAAAAATTAAGGTACTTATGGTATTATCGCAACCACCTTAGTTAGAAATCTCTAAATTTTCAAAAATCGTCAAACATTGTCAATCATGCACACAACAGTTTTTCAGTTAAACATATCCATTGTAAGTTGCAATCCGAAAATCACCGTATCACTTTGTTCTCCTGTAAAAAATCGCCATATAGCGCCAGTGTAGTTGCAACAATACTTAAGTATCAAAATAAATACAAAAAATTTTTTAATTCTGATAGACTCATACCAGAAGTAATAAGATATTTAGTTTGGATTACTTTAATGTTAGATACATAATTCTGCTTAATCTTAAAATCTCACTACGTTGAAGAGAGAAAAGTGATTAGTTAGGATGGATGATCCATGTACATTATGAACTTTTGTAATTGGTAGCAAAGTTCAAGTTAATTAAAATCATAATGTATATGGATTTATCAGAATAAATTTTTATAGCTATTTTTATTTTTATTTAATATTTTTCTAGAATTGAGTAACCTAACAGAATACAGTGCCTACAGCAAGATAGAGGATCAGCAGGAACTGTGCTCTTTATTCGCTGGCGCAGGTAAAAAAAAAATCTTACTCTAAATCCATTCTTCTTGAAATTTATCGCACAGTTTAAAGCGAAGACAAAATTGCTAATTATTATAAAAGGGCCAAAGTCCAGCTACGGATAAATAGCTGCATTTAAGAAAAAACGAATATGAATTTTAAGTGTCATAAAAGTTTCGGTTTATCTTTCATTAACTTAGTCGAAATACTTAGCCTCAAATACTAAAAAATATGAGTATTGTGGAAATAAAAGCCCTTAAAATCCTCTACTGGAATTTGGATGTGGCGTAATTCGTAAGAAAATGAAATACTATAGACATTTTTAAGATATTAAACTTAGGTAATCACATGCATTAACTTTTGGACAAACAATCATATAATTAAACTTGCTGAATATAACATTTCTTAGAGTTAAATGAAATATCATATAAATCTTATGGAAACTAAGCACTGCTTAATTGGTACTGAGTTTAAATACAATAGGTTCATTATACAAAGCAAATGTTGCTTAATTTATAAATACAACAAATAAAGTTCAATTCTGGAAAAAGTTCATGAATTATTTAACTTTCTTAGCATTAAAAATGCTAATTTAATTATGTATACTTGTTTCGGTTTATGTTTCAATAAATTAAGGGGGGAAGGAAAATTTTTCCTTTCCTCTTAGAATGTCATGCACTGCTGTTTTATAATTAATTCAACATGATTTTCTATTTAAAGTTGTTCTTAAATATTTATATCTTGTACTACTTTTGCAGTAGTAAGGAAAAGCTACCTAAATAGTTTTGTAGTTAGGGTAAATTATCCGAAATCGAAAAATCAAGCCTAAAATATTTGAACAGATGCGTGTGCCTTGAGAATCTTAATGAAGCACGAATGAAAGCACGATTTAGATTGACTATAATGCGGAATTTTGAATCGAGCTATTTTACATAATTATACTGAATTCGCAGCAGCTAAATCCCGCTTAAGCAACTTATGCGTGAGGGATTAAGAATCTTCCATTTGACTTTACTGTGCGGCATCTGTTTGCTTATGTGGTCATGCTTTATGTCAATCATAAGATGCGTTGAAAATCTTGGATTTTAACTAACTATTAATAAAAACTATTAATAAAAAGTAAGCTGAAAATTAAACCTTTTTAATAAAAACTCTTAAAGCTTTTTGCCAGGCTGAGGGAATTTAGAAGAGGGGAAAAAATTCACCTTAATAGATTTTTGATTACCAATACTAACATCAGTAATAAAGAAAATAATTAGTTAACATTGTATCAATACTAGTGTACGTAATGTACTACTTCAAAAAGGTGTCTTGCCTTATTTCGTGTGTAATTTGTATAAGATACGCAAATATGGAAATAAAAACATGTAACCGAGCATCTAAATTGAGCAAGAATTAATCTTGAGTTGAACTTTTTATGTTATTGGCATAAGCAATGATTAGTCGTTTAACTTAAAAGCAAACTTTAGGTTACACTGCCGTAGCTTTTGACCAACTGATTGTCACAGGTTTATGTCACTCTTCTTCTTTTTTTTCTTTCGGAGGGGGGGGGACTTGCTTTTTCATTGAAGAATAAAGCCTTCAAGGCAATGAGTATTGTAGCAACATTGCAATCTGTTAGCAAAATAGCGCAGAAAAAAACATGTACCTTAAGTATAAGATTTTGACAGTGAAATTATCCTGCAACTATGAATTACTGAAAATGTGAAATCGTTTCTGCATAAAAAACTTCAAACTTTTTTATGAATGTTCATATCAGACAGTCCAGATAATTATGGCTACTGAGCTGAAACATACCGGAACCTTGCTGTCAGTATAAACTTGTCACACGACAGTGCTCTGTAAAGATACTGCAAAGTGTAATGGCATGGCAGGAAAAAAGTGTGGGACACCTGTACTATTAGTAATCAAAACTTTGTCCTACCATACTGATGTATTAGAAGGAGAAATTAAATACATACGTAAATTCATTATAATTACGGAAATAAGATTAGAATAAGATTAGATTACATTAGAAAGTAAGTTAGTAAGATTAGATTACATTAGAAAGTAAGTTAGTAAGATTAGATTACATTAGAAAGTAAGTTAGTAAGATTAGATTGCATTAGAAAATAAACATGCATGCTTAACCTCGTTGGATTGATAATTAATATGTATAGTGCCTCATATGCTCTAATTCCATTCAGCTATACTGCAGAATTTTAAATTCATGCCGTTATTTGTATATGGACTGTTTTGATATTATATCCACAGGAAGTGACTATGTGCTCCAAAGTCTATTTGTGTTATGTACTAGGAAATATTATTAATTTTTATTTATTTAATTGGTGCATGAATTAGCATGAAAGAAAATTCACAAATCTCGTGAACAAGTGGTAGAGCTCAGTTTACGGCGGGTGAAATAAAACCTTTTATAAATAATATATAATTTTTCCTATTCACATACATCACAAGTACAATTAAATTTCCATTAGACAGTCATCCAAGAAGACATCTCTTCCCTTAATCAGAGAGCAAGTGCTTTGAGAAAATTAATTTCACTATTTAATTAACCATCTGAAGTTTAAAAAATGATCAGTTGGAGCATAAGTAAATACAGTTCTAGACAAATTTGTTCCCTATGTCACTGATTGGAATTTTTCGTAATTTGCATCGATTAAAAACAATTTGAACGTTAATAATATGCAAGATGAGATATTAATTTATGTAAAAACAGATTAATTAAAATGATTCTCTACCCGAATGGGTGGGAATCCGACATTCCACTGCAGCGTCCAATCTGACTGATGTATATTTAATCTTGTTCTGGTAATGCAATTGGACCAGATTTAAAAGTCGGAGACTTCGTAATGGGTAAAAAGAACCGTCTGCTGTTTCGGAATCCCCTAGGGGAGAGAAGAATCAAATAGATTACACGCTCAGACGACGAGAGGGGCGCGTAGTGAACATGATAATGGCCTGTAATTAATTTAATGTCGCATGACCCTCAGCGGGCGCTTAATGGTTCCGGTCCCCTCTCCTGTTGCGTCGGACCCCTCTATGGAACTAGTTACGCAATGTTTGTTCAACTTTTCTTTTTCGCGAGGTATCATCGAGAACTTTCGGTTTACCGCTCCATTAGCAGAAACATCGGGCATTCTATGCAAATCCTTTGCGTCCCATTTCAGTCACATGATTCATCATTAGTATTTAGCGAAGTATGTCTCTTTTATAATAAATGCAATACTAATAACATTACACGATATTCCCTGAAAAACAGAACTAACTTTGATTTACTTGTGTTCAAGAGTTCCTATTTACTCGCATATTTCAAGGTATGCATGACTAGAACTTATGCAAAAGTCATGAGTTATTGTGGTAACAGAGACGTAGCATTAAAACATCCCTTAAAAGAAATTATCTCTTCATTTTATTAGCATTAAGTACATCAGGCTATTTGTTTTTAATAGGCTATAATAATGCTGAAAGGCCGGAGCCCTTATTTTCATTGTTTGTTTTTGTTTAATTGTTTGCTTTTGATCTTTAAAGCAAATTTGGGTTTCCCTTACTGAAAATGAAATATCCACCTGTTATCGAAACAGCCAAATGAGTAAGATTAAGTCTTATGAAAGCTACAAACAATGGCATCCTTCTTAAAAGCAAATGCTTTTCCGTAATAAAAAATAATTTCAGCAATTAATAATGACTTCAAGAAATTATCAAATTTTAGTTAGTTTAGAAAGTTGTAGCTAATTTTTTGTATTGTTTTATAACTTACCATTTAGAGCGATTTCTACAAAGAACTCGCATAAAATTATGTACAACCTGAAAATGGATAATTTACCCAATGAAAAGACTGTTTCAATTTCTTGCTTACATTTTTTCTCATTCCAAACGCTGAAGAGAAAGTTATCGTAAGGAAACAAAAACATTTTTTCTTAAATATTTTTACGAAATTTTAATAAAACCCGTAATTTAGATATTGCCATTGTGCCTGAAATGATGATGTAGAGCTAAAACAAAGGATATGAATGATGTAAAACAGATTTTCATACGAAATAACACAAGCACATAAAACTTTGTCAACAAATAAAAGCAAAAAGAGCTATTTTCTAAAAAGCATTACAAGGGTGTAGTTACTATCTTATGCATTCAGACATACTTTATTGCTCATAGTTACCGTAAGATTTAACACTGACCGGCACAGAGTTTCGCTAAAAAAGGCCCAAATTTCCAAAAACTACCTTCAGAAAGTGGTATTATGCCAAAATGGTCTTTGCATTTTATACCTGGATTCAATACTTTAGTTTGTTGGACATAATTCAAGATGCACATATACATATTTTCTTAAAGATGTCGAAAATTCCTTGCCAGTCAAATCTTACAATTTTTATGTAACTTTGAACTACATTGCGCGTCATTACTAAGCAATCATGGGTTGCTGGAAAAAAATTATGAGAAAGTATTCTAAATTTTCTTCTCAAAGCATCTTATTTCGTGTTCAATTACTTTTAGATTAAGATTAAGCAGTTTTATTCAATAAGCATATGTAGAATATTTAAGAAATTTTTCAGCTTTCGTTCAAACATTTCAGATGTTCAGGTGGTCTAGATGAGTGTAGCGGTATTCCTTTCAAATACTATTTATGTCGCCTGTACTCGCGACTTCACGTACAATGACTACTTTGCAACAGCTAACGCTGTTGTAAAATGCATTGAGATATCATATCTGTGAAACGGTTCCTCCGCTGGCTTGAATAGTTTGTTCAATGATTTTCTGTCAAAGCAGTTATTCAATATATCTTCAGTGTTGCCTTCTTCAATATGTGCAACTCTTCATATAACTAATAATTTCAAACCTTGCACTTTCTTCAAATAAATAATCTCTAAGAATCGGTTTGATAAGGAAACCGGCATATATCTTTGAAAGAGTGAATTTTGTGTTCTCCTGGTTTAGTTGAATATGCGATTGAGTCTGTTGTTGGGCTTTCTTTTCAATGTGAAATCAAAGACATCTAATAACTCTGGCAACCTT